AAGAGTGTACAGGATTTTTACCCCAGGGCCATGCTGAAGCCCATCAATTTACAATAAAAAAGTAAAATCAATGCTATTGTTTCAAAGCCATAAATTAATACAGGTTATAAGTTATTATTGATAGAGTTTTGAAGGTTAAAAATTATTAAAGGAAGATGTGCAAGAACTTAACTATCAGACTTTTGAATCACTTGGTCAAAAAAGCTTTTGGTATTCAATAAAATCAACCTAAGACTTGAGCTATTATTTTCTTATAATTTAGAGAGAAAAAAACAAAAAATAATGGATTTTATTTTGAGAATAGTTGCAGTAACAATCGCTAGAAACATAAAATTAGGGGCAAAAATCAAAAAAATTGCTTTTGATATTTTTGTCACTAATAGAATAAATAACAAATTAGTCCTAAAAGATATAAGGACGGTTATATTAGTTTCCAATGATGGAAATTACGCTTCTGCACTTTTTGGGTCAAATTACGCCTCACATCACGAATCCCGGGGATTATTATTAGGTTGACCAACAAATCAACCTAGAACTGAATCAACCTGATACTAAGCTATTAACTGCAGGATTAGGAATATATATCTAACTTCTAAAGGAGAAGCAACGCTATTTGGTGAAAAAAAAAAAAAACCAAGAACAGTTTATATCTCTAGCAAAGTGAAAAGAAGACTATTTTTCACAAACCCTCACATTGGCCTAGTATTCTTAAAGTAGGCTTCATGAGGAACAACCAGTAGACAGGATTGTTTCAATTCCAGAAACCCACACATAACATTTCACCATCAGTAGAAGGTTGAAAACAACAAACAGCATGAGAATCAACCAAAACAAAAATCCTGTATATGAAAACATCTCTCAAAGCATAGTCCAAACTCCAAACTATAAAACAACTACGAACAGAACCTAATTGGCAAGTTTGTCCAAGTTGGTATGGAAAAAGTTTAAACTCACATCCATATCCAAGGAAGCTCCAACCCCCTCTGAAAGACCACCATTCTCTGTGGATTCTTCTTTCAAAGCATATGCCTAAACAAAAAAAGGGGGTTAAATTAAAAAGCTAGCCCAAATACTAGAAACCATTATGAAAACCATTGAATACAGAAACAAATCTTACCAAAGAAACGAGATAGTCACACTCCTTGTCCGACAAAAAACCTCTGTATAGAAAAACCCTACAGCAAGAGGAGAAACAATACATCAGAGTCTGAAAAACTAAAGAAGAAAAAAAAAACGACTGGTAAATAAGCAAGCAAATCAAAAGAACATAATAGAAGATTTGAATGTCTTAATCAGTAAGACAACTATGAATTTGACAAAAGGGAAAGTTCTAGAAAGTACCTGACCTTGGTTGCCAAGAGATTTGGACAACACGGGAAGGGTTAATTCTGTTGGAATAGTGAAATGAGTGCTCTAACGTCTGTAATGCAGTTTCCTGCTTGTTCCTTAATTCCTTCCTACTGCTAATGCAAATTAACAATGAGAACAACAATAAAAATATTCTGATCAGTAACTAGTAAATAGTCAAATACACAAGAAAAATCATGAATGATGGGAATTGAATTCATCCCCTGGTTCTTTAGTTTTCAAAAATTAGTCCCCAAGATCTATGATGTGAAAACTAACGTGAACAAAAACATAAAGATCAGTTATGTTAGAGAAAATATCTTCATTCATTTTAAATTTTTACAAAGTTTAATTTATATGCATCGTCATTGTAACAAATTTCACATTATCAATCAGAAACTAAACTATTGCCCCTATGACTTTTAAGTTGGTTATCGTAAAAGTTAACGAAATTATCATGCATGCCAGCTTGTGATTGAATAATAGTGTAAAAACCCTTTCCAATGATAGTACATATACTATCTATTCTTTTACAAATAATCACAAATTTCACTTTATTTTTACTTTTTTATGATTTAAACTATTTTTTACTGTGTTTTCACCCTTTATAGAGAGGAAACAAACAAAAAAACCAGACACATTCTCTTAATTATTCACACACACATACACACAAGTTTTGAAGCACTAGAGACACCTGGTGGTGGGTAGCATGCACAGGTCCCCATGTTCGAATCTTGTTGTGGTTACTAAAAAAAAAAACTCAAACTAGTACCCTTTTACAAGTTTCAGAACACTTGGACATAATTTTCATTGTTAATAATTAGGCCCTAACGTGATGTTACTAACTATTCTTAAAATGGACAAATTACACTCAAAATAGATTTAAAAAATTTTCACTCAATGTCATTGATTTTCTTCACCTTACTCAAACATTTTCTAATTTATATGACAATATAACATGGTTTAGCCTTTCCCTTAACACAAATCTCTGGTTTCATATTCTCATGGAAATTTAAAGGGAGTAAATTGTGACAAAATTGGTGAAAAGAGAGAGACGGAGGGCCTTTCAGCAATTTACCTTTCCGACGACGAAGTGCCAATTACGGAGAACACGAACAGGGTGAGAAGCAGGGAGATAGAAGCCATTGAGATTGGTGAAGATTGAAGAAGCGTTGGAAAACGGAATCGGAGATCAACGCCGAAAACAAAAGTGCTTATGCAAACGCGAGTTTTCTGTACATCGGTGGAACTATGTAATTGGGAATTTGCGTTTGGCAGTGATGCAATTCATGATTTTGCTTCAATTCAAAGTTTGCTACGGTGCATTCACTTTTCTGTTATTCTTCACCCTAATTATTTATATTAATCATTATATCACTTCCCTTTTCTAATTTTCATGATTACTCTCTTTTATTCATTCCCATAGATATGAATGTAAGAAGAAAAATTAATTCTTAAAAAGTAATATTAATTATTTTTATTTATATCTTTAGTAATATTTTTTAAAAAGTTGTGTTGTGTTGTTTCATTTTTAAAATAGATGATTAATGATAAATTTAATTTTGTAAAAAGAATATTTTCTTCATATGAGCAGTATATATATATATATATAAATTTTTTTCTTCTTTTTTTTTCTTTGTGGTGGTGTAAACTGCATGTATTTTTTACTACATAAAATCGCGTTTGAAGTAAATAGAATTAGGAGACAAAAATAATTATGATCATAATAAAAATAATTAAATACATACCTCCATATATTTAAATGTATTTTCTTAAAAGTGAAAAGAGAAAAACCTGTGATGTTTAAAGAAATTAAATTAAACATGGGTTTTTGGTCAAAGTTTCAAAATAAAATTGTAGTCAAATTTCATTATGAGCATCCCATTTTTATAAAATATAATACAAGTATTTTATTAATAATTTTAATATTTTTATTTTTATTGATGAGAATTGATTAATATTTATTTGATTATTAATTATTATATTTTATGATGATTAAATGTAATGATTTTAATGATTATTTATAATTATTTTATATGAATATATTGTGAGATTTTATAATTAAAGGTTATATTGTTTAATTATTTGATATATTTTAGATTATAATATAAAGTATTTTATTCAAAGATTTATTTAAATATTTTATAATATTTTTATTAAGAAGGAAAGGAATTCGTAGGTAACCTCAATTAACTTAAGAGGGGGCTGAATTAAGTTTATCAATTTTTCTTCCTTTATGAGTTTTAGAGATACTTTCTTATAAATTCAATTACACAATTGCTTAGACAAATTTGTAAGTATAAGTTAACGAAGATGCAAACTAATCAATCACAATTAATAACAAGTAATTAAAAGTGTAGTGAAAGAGAAATTGTAAACTCGTTTTATACTGGTTCGACCAATCCTGCCTACGTATAGTCCTCAAGTCTTCAACTTGAGATTTTTACTATTTTTGTAAACCTTACAAGACTTGAATCCTCCAACATCTTGGAACACCCTTTTCCTTATGTTGAGATACAAAAACCAACCAGAAGAACAACCCTTTCTCCTTCACTGATCAAATAATCAAGTGAGAATTACATAATAAATCTCTTTCTAAGAGTAGATATTACACCTTTTAAGATCTTAATGAACTCTTTAGAGATTTTTGCAAATGACTTTGGCCAAATAGTTTTTGTAAATTGATTTTCACAATAGAGTTCGTAACCTTCTTCTGAAAAAGTATAGGTATTTATGGACAATTATTTCTTAGGTTGTGTCTTTTAATGAAGAGTTGTAACTCTTTATAATTTTTTAGAAAAGATACTCTAGTAATCCGATTACAAGGCTTGGTAATCAATTACAACGGTTTTTAAGTTCAAAAAATTTGAAACATTATATCTTTTAAATTCAAAATTTTGAAGTTCCCTCTTCTTTTGTATTCGAAATTTAAACTTTGAAGTTTCCTTGCTCTGGTAATCGATTACATAAGCTGGTAATCGATTATCAGACAAATATTACTATATTTGTTACACAAACTTTTGATTATAGGAAACTTATAATTTTCAGTCAAAAATATTTTTGTAAAATCTTTTTGAACACTCTTTTTACCTTCTTTTTCAAAAACTTATTCTTATATTCAAAAAGACTAAATTTAGATTTTCTTGAAATCCTTATTTTAATGGCAAAGTGAAATTTGCAATTTCTAAAAGTTCATTTTACATATCAAGCTAAGTAGTCAAAACTTATCTAGTTATTTCTTGAGATTTTGCTTATTATCAACTTGCTTTAACTTGACCTTTTATTTTCTTTAATGCTTTAACATCATCAAAACTTTATGCATATGTTCTTCCACATAAGGGTTAAGGAGGAGTTATGTTTTCTTTAAAAGGAGAAATTATAATTAGTTTTTCATTTTATACCCCTACATTTTTTTACGCTTACATGCTTCAGTGCTCAAAGAACTAGAAGAAGAAGGAAATCAATTCGGAGCCACGCATCCATCTTTTTCTATTCAATAAGGTAAGAGGAGAGTGAAAAATCTCACTATGAATGTGAGTTTGTATGTCGAGTAGTGGGATTACTCCCCATAATATTTCTGTTTTGCTCTTTGTTATTCTTACTCATAATTAATGACATGAATTGTTGGAATGTATAATCAATTATATATTTTTGGTTGTAATTATATGATCTGAGGTTCTTATAGGTTCCTATGAAAAATCCTAAGGGAACTCGTTGTGATAATTTGTGAAACCATTAATTGATATGTGTAAATTGAGTGATTTGAAATGTTAATCGCATGATATAAAGTAATTTTATCAATTATATATGTTTTTATGCGTAAAATTGGATGTGGGGAACTTGTAGTTATTGAGGAGTGTAATATTCTAAATTTTAATTATAATATTATATAATTTTAGTATTCTCAATTTTATTATTATTATCTTATTGATAGTCTAAATTTCTATTTACCATATTTTAAAATATGTTTTATTTATTTATAATTTCAATACATTAAAATTTTTACTCTAATATTTCCATTAAACTAAAATGGTAATATATAATATTTAATTATATTATAAAATTTTAAAATTTTATTTATAATATTTTTTAGAATAATATTTTAATTATGTTAAACATTAAATGTTTAATATTAGTAATAATTTTTTTTAAATATATATGTATGTAGAAAAAGGGAAAACATATATATATATATATATATATATGAGGAAGGTTCAAACGACACCGGTGTAACTTTTACTAAGTGTTACATTGCTTAATAACTTTAAATTAAATGTGAATTTTCTAAATCCAACCGTTAGATTGAAAGTTCTTTACTCTTAGATCATATACACAAATTTTATATTAATCCAAGATGTTTTGATATTTCATTCTTATAAAAAAAAATTGACATAATATATTTATTTCAAAATATACTAAAATATGAACACTTTAATTATTCTCAAGTTGTTGTTCAATTTTAACAAAATTTGATATACATATATAAGTGATATGTACTTTCAATCTAACGGTTGGATTTTCAAAATTTATATTTAATTTAAAATTATTAAGCGGTGTAACACTTAGTAAAAATTACACTAGTGTCGTTTGATATATATATACACAGAGGATGGTCGCTAAGAAAGTGTTCTAATCAATGTGTCCACAATACCACAGTCCAAAGAGACCTTAAACCTTATGATATCTTCTTTATATGTTGCCTTAGTAGTCACACTCTTCACCTCTTTGCTAATTAGAAAGGGTGGCACATTGTTACAAAGAGTATTCTGTATTCATGTGTTGCATAGGAGCCAAATCAGAACGTTGAGGATTCATCCTGCAAGCTTCTGGAACCTGATCCTCCAAAACAGCATCTGCTGAAGGACATAGGTTTCTCAAGTCCTTAGAACTACCAGCACCCTCAAGTAGCTGTCCTACAAATGGCACTTGAGGTTCTGTTGTGTCCACAATGTTAGGCATAGGGTATGCAGTTGGGCGGTTTGGTGTACTAGTTGAGAGCAGTGTTGATTCCAGTGATCCCCTTAACACAAGACATTGCTCATTGTTGCCTGCTATGAATATATCTTTTGTAGGTGAAATTTCATTTGGGGGGCTTCCTTGGCATGAACCATGAGGAGTAGGATTTGCACTGCCTTCACTTGAGCCACTCCCAGTTCTCAATTTGTTTGAGCCTTTAGTGCCAATATCCTAAATGGTACCAACTTTACCATGTGTGAAAAAAAGTGTTACACTGAATATCTTCTTTATGAAAATATATATTTTAACACCATTAACTTTACAGGTGGAATTTGCCGGAGGGGCTTTGCGTTGTGGTGAATATGTAACTCTTAGGAAAGTTGGGGATGCAACACAGAAGGCAAGTGCTTCTTCTAAACATTTGTTAATTTCGTGCATCCTGAAGAAACTGATCATTTTTTAATATAGATGAGACTGTCCAGTTTTATGATCAAGATTCTGATCTATTAAGATGATTTCTTTCTCTAATAGGGTGGTGCTTCTGGTGTTCAGCAAATCGTTATTGAAGGTCCTCTTTGTGAAGATTACTATAAAATCCGCGACTATCTCTATTTACAGTTTTATTTGCTTTAGATTTGGTTGTAGTAGTGCAATGGCTAATCATGATCTTCTTTCCTTCCCTGCCCTATTTTGTGTGAACATCACACTCTGGAGTTGTCTTTCAAATAAGGTAGTAAATAGTTGAGTAGCAGTGCTGGGACAGTTGTGAACCGGGTTAATTTTGGTAGCCATTTGAACAAAAAGATTCACTGGGACACTGGCATCTGATGTTTTCGATGAAGAAATCATCGTTGCATCATTTTTTGTATAGCTATTTTACCTTGGATATGCATCAACCATCATGGATTCTGGGGAATGTAAACTTCTCTGCAGACAGATACTTTTCAAGTGTGCTTGCTCTCTGTACAATCATAGAAAAGGAAATGTAATTTGTTCCTCTTGTGCAGGCTTCAGATTTTGAAAGGGTAGTCATGTGTCAGTTGGCATCTATCTCCACTTGTAGTTTTTTTCACACTGGTGAAATTACTGACATAAAATGAATGTAGCGATTACCCCTTTTAATTTGGCTATTATCATTCAACAGAACAATATAGTTTAATCAAAATTGATATTAATTTTAATGTCTCCACTTTTGTTCTGAATTTTGATTTGTTCATCACCATGCCGTCTGACCCAAAAAATACAATATCTTGATCGATGTCTAATAGCACTTACTGAATATTTATGCACCTTTGCATGCCTCTGGAAATAGTTTTTCGTAGACATGACTTCTATTTGTTAAGTATGATTTAAACATTGATGGAAATTAATTTCAAGAGCTATTAACACGTTTTTATTGATAAAAGAGAAGCTAAGACAAAAATAGCGATGCAATGTATGTTCTCAAACCCTGTAGTTTCCGGGCCATCATTTATAGTAATATATAAAGGGAATACTCTTTTTTAATAACTACTTTAATTTTTACTTTTTTATATTATTATACTTTTTTATTTTGAAAAATTAAAAAAATATTTTTTAATCAAATTTAAGAATTTGAAACTAATGAATCTATACTAATATATAAAGGGGATATCGCTTTCAATAATTACTTTTATTTTTTATTTTTACATGAATTATTTTTTATTACTATTTTTTTAATAATTATTTTATCTCACTCTTTGAGGTGTCTCCAACGTAGTGAAGAAATTAATCACTACTATCGACAGTAGATATTTCAGGGACGAACAAAAAAAAATGTAAGCACGGAGTGCCTTTTTCCTGTTAGTATGTGTAAGAGACATAAATAAGTTGTGGAATAATTTAATATTATTTAATTAATTATTAAATCAATATAATAAATAAAAGTTATTAAATTATTTTTTCTGATAAAAGAAAATATAAAAGATAAAGCGATGAAAAGGATAAGAAAAATATAACCAAATGTGTACATGAAAATATCGTATCGGTTTTATCTATCGTTATAAATTTATATATTTTTAATTATTTTTTAAAATATAATGAGTCATCAAGTGGGTCTTTTACGCTATCAGAACAGATGTAATTTCAAAAGTTTTTACCCCTAATCACATGGTTCAAAATCTGGTGTGTATATATATATATATATAGTATATACGACCAATTAAAGTATAAGGAATATTTAATGTATATAACTATTAGATATTGATATATATATTAAAAGGGCAGTGAAGGCGTGGCTTGTATTTTTGGTTCCTCAGCCGTGAAGCGCATGAAGGTAGCGAGCCAGCGCCTCTATGGTTGTGTAGTTGGTGGTGTTGTTGTTTGATTTTGGTGTTAGGAATAAATAAGGTGTTATTGTTGTTGAAACCCTAATCATGGCGCATAGGTTGCTCCGAGACCACGAAGCCGACGGTTGGGAGCGCTCCGATTTCCCCATCATCTGCGAATCCTGCCTCGGCGACAGCCCCTACGTTCGAATGGTTCCTTTCCTTTCTTCTTCGCTCCTTTCGCTTTTCTATTTTATTTCATCATCAGATTGCATGCTAGACCATTCTATCATAATGAATCTCTTGAATAATAGTGAGTCTTGTGTGTTTTTTGGGGAATTTAGGGTTTAAGAGACACATGGGTTAGGTTTTGGTGTATGGAACCTCGTCATGTGAACAGCTATCAAGAGCTGAAGAATGAATCTGTTGAAACTGTCGTTATGTGATATTAGTGCTGTACTATGAATAACTATGGCATGAATGTGCATTCTTGATAATTTTTTTGATTTCATAGTGTTTTGTTTAAGATGATTGTGGGAATCCTGTTTGTTTAATTGTTTTTCGTTATGATTATCTTTGGGTGCAGACAAGAGCAGAGTATGACAAGGAGTGCAAAATTTGTACAAGGCCTTTCACTGTTTTTAGATGGAGACCTGGTCGAGATGCAAGATATAAGAAAACTGAGATCTGCCAGACATGTAGTAAATTGAAAAATGTCTGTCAAGTGTGCCTTCTGGATCTTGAATATGGACTACCAGTTCAAGTTCGGGACACGGCTCTTAGTATCGATTCCAATGATGCCATTCCAAAGAGTGATGTTAATTTTTTTTTTTGTAATAAAAGAAAATATAAAAGATAAAGCGATGAAAAGGATAAGAAAAATATAACCAAATGTGTACATGAAAATATCGTATCGGTTTTATCTATCGTTATAAATTTATATATTTTTAATTATTTTTTAAAATATAATGAGTCATCAAGTGGGTCTTTTACGCTATCAGAACAGATGTAATTTCAAAAGTTTTTACCCCTAATCACATGGTTCAAAATCTGGTGTGTATATATATATATATATAGTATATACGACCAATTAAAGTATAAGGAATATTTAATGTATATAACTATTAGATATTGATATATATATTAAAAGGGCAGTGAAGGCGTGGCTTGTATTTTTGGTTCCTCAGCCGTGAAGCGCATGAAGGTAGCGAGCCAGCGCCTCTATGGTTGTGTAGTTGGTGGTGTTGTTGTTTGATTTTGGTGTTAGGAATAAATAAGGTGTTATTGTTGTTGAAACCCTAATCATGGCGCATAGGTTGCTCCGAGACCACGAAGCCGACGGTTGGGAGCGCTCCGATTTCCCCATCATCTGCGAATCCTGCCTCGGCGACAGCCCCTACGTTCGAATGGTTCCTTTCCTTTCTTCTTCGCTCCTTTCGCTTTTCTATTTTATTTCATCATCAGATTGCATGCTAGACCATTCTATCATAATGAATCTCTTGAATAATAGTGAGTCTTGTGTGTTTTTTGGGGAATTTAGGGTTTAAGAGACACATGGGTTAGGTTTTGGTGTATGGAACCTCGTCATGTGAACAGCTATCAAGAGCTGAAGAATGAATCTGTTGAAACTGTCGTTATGTGATATTAGTGCTGTACTATGAATAACTATGGCATGAATGTGCATTCTTGATAATTTTTTTGATTTCATAGTGTTTTGTTTAAGATGATTGTGGGAATCCTGTTTGTTTAATTGTTTTTCGTTATGATTATCTTTGGGTGCAGACAAGAGCAGAGTATGACAAGGAGTGCAAAATTTGTACAAGGCCTTTCACTGTTTTTAGATGGAGACCTGGTCGAGATGCAAGATATAAGAAAACTGAGATCTGCCAGACATGTAGTAAATTGAAAAATGTCTGTCAAGTGTGCCTTCTGGATCTTGAATATGGACTACCAGTTCAAGTTCGGGACACGGCTCTTAGTATCGATTCCAATGATGCCATTCCAAAGAGTGATGTTAATAGGGAGTATTTTGCTGAAGAGCATGACCGCAGGGTAAGTTTTCTCTATGTTAACCAGTTTATAGTTGAAGATAGTTGAACCTAATTGATGATTGGATAATAGTGGTGTTTTGCCCTTGTTATTGTTTTAAGAATCAAGGTTCTAATTGTTTGCTTCTATGGTTATGGTTATTGTTTCAATTTGCACATAAAAAATATACTTCGACTGACGAGATATGTCATATTTAATTCTTATTATGGGAAGTTCAGATTCACACACCTTTGCAATTGCTTCTATGATGAGTTTCACCTCTGGACTGCAGTTACTGAAATTTTATTGCTCGAACCAGAATTGTTTGAATTGTCTCATGTCTTAAAATCCATCACAATGAAACCTTATTGTTAGTAAATCTAGTGCATGAAAATTATGAATATCCTGACACATGTAGATTTTAGACACCATTTTTTACTCAATAGAACATGTCTTCCTGGAGAGAAATAGTGAAAAGAAGTGAAGTATAACTAGGTCTAGGGAAAACATAACAATCAAGAAAGAACAAGACCACCTAGTCTCTCTCTTTTTGCATGTTGGTAATGGTAACTCCCACAAAGCAGCCATTAGCAGAGCACCAAAGACAAACCATAAACTTAAACCTGTCCTAAAATCCAACAAGGCAGAAAAAAGAGACCCTTAAGACTGCTGAAGCTGCACACTGTCACAAATTGTTGGCATTAAGTACAGATTCTAGGGTACTTTTATCTTCTTCAAAGTATGCTGAAAATAACCCTCCTAAACATTCTTTCCTGTGATTTATTCTCACAGACTTTATTGCTTCTCAAACCATGGTCTTTATTGGTAACGCTGTTGTGAAAGTATCAACGTTCTTAGTTTTTACATCCTGCAATACTTGAGCTTTATTTTTGTTTTCTTTTTTTACTCTGATATTACATTGCATATGAAATGGCCATTGATGGAAAAATACTTGGATCTTACTGCCATGTGATGGATTGTTTGCAATTGCAAAATGGATTTTCTGTTGCATAGGATTTCAATTGCATCATTCTGATTTACCTCCATGTCTGTGCATGTATTTTTTTAGACTGTAATCAAGAACACTTGCTGCTGCAATATGTTCTGCCTTGTTGGATGATGGAACCACTTTCTTTTTCCTTTGACATCGATGCTCGTTGCCATACATATTTTGCCTTTGCTTCTACCAAACCATTAAAGCCAGGCATAAAAAAATGTTCCGAGGAGACAAGTCACACTCACATTCACCTTTCCCTTTGTTTTGGCTTCTATTTTTTGCTCAAACTGTACTGAAAAGGTTTTTGTTGTTAAAAAAATATTGATTTTTTTGTAACTTAATAACAATAATTTAGTACTCAATATGTGTACTATTCCCCTCCTTCCTTCTAACTTTTTATTCTTGGCTTGGAATTATATTCTCATTACCCACCATCAATTTATTGAACTTCTTGTTTTGGATGACAAATGATCATCTCCTGATAAGTTGGCTTGATCCTTGTACTTCCTCTTAATCTGGGTGTGCTCATCTGCATAATGCACAAACCTCTTAGCTGCCTTTTTTGATCTGATTGGATACACTAGTGTATATGTTCAACTCTGACATTCTTTAATGCTGCCTTTTGGTTTATCGTTTATTTCAATTCCAGTTTTCCATACTTTCCACTCGAAGTGATATACCATGTTCGATTGTTATCAGGATTTACATTTTAAAAGAATAAACTTCATAGTAGTGAGGATTTTAGGGTCAATCCATATGTAGTTGTGAGTAAATTGTTATTTTTGTGACTTTCATCGTTTTTTTTGTAATATTTTGGAGTTATTTTTATTGCCTCTAACTGCTCATTTTCTTTCAAAGAGCCATAACATCCATTTGAGGAGCAATAAAGTTATTTACTTTATTACATGCAGAAATCCTCACCCATGGCACTCTGATTTTCACATTGCATAATCTCATTTGACAGCAGCTATTAGAATTTAAAATTTTCCTTATCAATATTTTTGCAGGCTAGAGCTGGTATAGATTATGAATCCTCTTATGGTAAAGTACGGCCAAATGATACTATCCTGAAGCTTCAAAGGACTACACCATATTACAAAAGAAATCGGGCGCATATTTGCAGTTTCTACATAAGGGGTGAATGTACCAGAGGAGCTGAGTGCCCTTATAGACATGAGATGCCTGTAACTGGGGAATTGTCTCAACAAAATATTAAAGACCGTTATTATGGGTATGTATGGTTAAAATGACTTCCTTATTTGTTTATGACTTCTTACTTGATCTCTCTTTCAATAACTTTTTTTTATTCTTCTTTAGTATTTCTACATATTGTCATTGGTGCTGGGCAGCGACTCAAGTTTTTTTCATTACTGTGATGGACTTGGTTGTTGATTTATTTGGCATTCATTTAGTTCCTCCGTGGTTGTTCTGTGTGATGACCTGATGCATAGCTAAGATAACAAGCTTGCAGTTTTTCTCTCGTTTTCCAGTGAACTCTTGTATAGTTCTGCATGTAGGAGCTGTGTTTTAAAAAGCATTAATCAATCCTTATTCCATGAATTGGGTTAGATATATACAAGTCAAAACCATTATTTAACATTAACATTTGAGGAACCCAAAGTGGGGAAATTTTATTGATTACCAAGTTACAATATGCCATTTACTTGCAATTTCAACTTTCTTTATTTCCTACTGAGTGTAGCTAAAGTCGTGTATTTTGTTGTTCTTGGTTTTTAGCGAAATGGAAGAGTTTATGTTGCCGATATGGTCCTTAGCCTTTAATTTTTCATCCTTTTAAGAACATTTTGTTTGTACTTTGCTACTTGTCACGCTGCAGTGAGAGGTTTTATTGACATGGACGAAGGAAGATTCTTTATAGTGTTATCTTTAATTCTCCATTGTAGCCAAAAATGTTGTAGTAGGCAGGCAATAGCCGTCAAACATCTTTTTGTGACAACAACCTTTTGGTTTCTATATTTTTGTTCATCATGGGTATGGTGTTCATTCCTTTTCAATCTCATTATCCTATGTGCTACTTATTCTTAGTTTTCTCTGCATGATTTTCTTGTGATTACAAATATTGATGTTATCCTTAATGGCGTAGTTGGTGACATTTTAAATATTGCTCATGCGTTTGACTTTGTTAACTTGCTGTTCATGCTTTAAAAAATGTTCAGGGTGAATGATCCAGTGGCTTTGAAGCTACTTGGCAAGGCAGGAGAGATGACCACTCTGGAGGCTCCTGAGGATGAGAGCATTAAAACTCTTTATGTTGGTGGACTTGATGCCAGGGTCACTGAGCAGGACTTGCGGGATCACTTCTATGCCCATGGAGAAATTGAATCCATCAAAATGGTTCTCCAACGGGCTTGTGCTTTTGTCACATACACAACCAGAGAAGGTGCAGAAAAGGCAGCAGAAGAACTTTCCAACAAACTGGTTATTAAGGGCCTAAGGCTAAAGCTGATGTGGGGCAGGCCTCAGACATCGAAACCTGAATCAGATGGCTCTGATCAAGCAAGGCAGCAGGCCTCCGTTGCTCACAGTGGATTGTTACCTCGGGCAGTTATATCTCAGCAGCAGAACCAGGACCAAACCCAAGGAATGCTTTACTACAACAATCCACCACCTCTACAGCAGGAAAGAAGCTACTACCCATCAATGGATCCTCAAAGAATGGGAGCTCTTATTCCATCACAGGATGGTCCTCCTAGTGGGCCTTCTGGGCCTGGGGAGAACAAGCCCAGTTTGGAGAAGCAGCAAATGCAACATTATCCTCGTCCAATGATGCCCCCTCCACCTGGCCAATATCATCATCAGTATTATCCTCCATATGGTTATATGCCACCAGCTCCTCCTTATCATCAGTACCCACCACCTGCATACAATTCTGCAGTGCCTCCATCCCAACCTCCTCCCTCAAATCATCCTTATCAGCAGCATTCTATGCAGCCAGGGTCTTCACAGACAGGAACTGGACAAGCCGCAGCTGCCCCAGTTGAAACTGGAACATCAACATCAGGGTCACAGCAGCAATGAAATTGCCTATGCTGATGTTTCTAGTTATGTTTAATTATTGTTCAAAGTTTTTCCTGAAACTGACCATGCTGACAGGGAAGTTATTTTCACTCAAGCTGTCAATTTACTATCTCAACTAGCTTGAACAAGTTATTTTATGATTGGATTTTGTGATTTTGTAACTCTTGCTTCCTGGTTAGATCATAGTCATGCTCAGCTTTAGTATTACTTTGCATCGAATGCTGATGTTACAACTTTGCATCGAATACAACATTTGGTAAAGTTCGCCAGTTGGTTTTATACTAATCATCAAATAATTCGTGACAAATGTAGGTGGTTTTAGAACTTTATATTGCTGAGGGTTATATTTTCCTTGTATTTTGGAAAAGCATCGGTTCGATCTTTGATTGACTACTGTATTATTTGCTTTTATAAAATCGCAGGATTAACACCCACTAAAATAATAGTCGGTTTCTTTTATTTATTTATTTTTATTCCGTACGCTCGTGGGCACCACTTAATCATAAAGTAATATATGAATGATTAAGATAATGAGGACCTGTCATTTTTTTTTTAATGACAGGGCCTCTCATTCCTAAAGTGTATAAGCATTGCACTTTTTCACGTTTGACTTTCTATATACCCCACTCAACTTGTTAAGATGGGAATTAATTTTTAATATCGTTATGTAAATGAAATTACACTTGTTTAAGAGACATTGGATAGATCATATAGCTGCTGCTTACTCACGTGTGTTTTTGGCAGGGAATTTTTGTGTAAATTAGTTGTCAAAGAATTTTTCGACGTCAAAGACTCCCTTACTTATCTTTAAAGAATCAAAGACTGTTTTTCAATTGTTATTAGTAATCCTCCTACCTTTAGGGGTTGGTTTGGTTGTTTAGAGTTCTTTTAATTTTATCTTTCTTGGTTTATCTTTTCTTTATGTTTATCGCCAAAAAAATACTCTTTATTTTTTAATAAAGAAATTTTCAAAAGTACTTTTATCTAATATCCAATCGAACTCTAAGTAAACTCTTACAAATGTGAACTAACTTTGACAATCTCAATTTTAAATGTGAGTATTTACATGAACCTTGATTCCCATCAACTTATAACAAAATTATCATTCTTCGTTTCAAGTTCCATCTGAGTTACAAATAGAGATACAATAAGAATAAACGAATTTTGCTTTTCACAATATACAACCTTAAGTCTGTTAAAACGACTTATTTAATGAATCTTTCTTCAGCAGGGTGTGGCCGTGCTCATCCTTATCCAAATGACGCTCAATCAAAGCATCCCAGCTTTCATCCACTGAACTTTTATGAGAAGACTCACCCTGTGATCTTGTCTCTCCCTCCTCATCAAAAGTGCCATACTCTGATGGTGGTGTATAAGCATGTGGAACATCTAATGTTTTGGCCCTTTGTAATGCTGCTTTGTACTCCACATTGTGTCTGGTTAGCGTTTCTTGGCGCACCATCTTTTGCTTCGCAGGGATTTCCATGGGTTCATCTTTCTCCAGCATCAACTGCAGTTGACATAAAACACAAGGGAAAGGTTAAGTTTAGAAGTACTTTTAGGGGAAAAGAATAAAGGTCTGTTTGAATAAACTTTTCTAGAAGCACTTCTAAGAAAAAAAATAGTAAGGAAATTTTTTTTCATAAACTAAAATTAGCTTACATGTAAGCTATTTTGTAGTTTTTTAGAGTTCATAAGAGAGTTTATACAAATTAACTTGCGCACAAATTAGCGCATGGAAAATCCTAAAAATTATATTTCATTTTCCCTTCCTATTTTTTCTTTTGAGAAGTGCTTCCAGAGAAGTTTACCCAAACAAATCTTTAAAAGGAAAAATGAAATAAGATTCTCTATAACTTAAAATTAGCTTATATACAAGTTAGAAATAAGTTTTTGGAGAAACTAATATAAGAGAAGTTTTAATAATTAGCTTATCAGCTTATGGAGAAGCTTATTTCATTTTTATTTTCTATTTTTTTCTCCTATAATTGCTTATGGGAAAATTTATTCAAATAGACCCTAAATAGGGTGCCAAATTAGTGGAACCTGATTCCTTATGCTTGAAGATTTAGAGAATGACAAAACTTAGACAATTCTTTAGGTGCTTATGGTATTATTCTCAAATCAAAATTGAAGTTTCATTTCAGTAACCTATGTTGACCTTTAATATAAATATTTATTATGCAGATAATGAAGGTGAAAGTCTAACTCTAATTAGAGAATAGTACCAAAAATACCTAAGGAGCTGCATCTGAACTTTTTCCTTTATAGAAATTTATATCGTTATATGTATATCAAGGACAGCCAGAGGAAAAACAATCAAAAGATCTTTGCTTAATTATTGCTGCTCCATATGAAAGGGAGATATGGTAGAGGTGTACAACTTGTTATTAGTATCAAATTATAGATTCCTCATGAACCATATATATATATGTGTGTGTTTGTGTGTGTGAGTGATAAATGGGACCCAAAATAGAGTGTAATAGATAGCATCCACAGCCACAGCTACAATTAATTATGGTTATCACAGAGAAAGAGAGACAGAGAGATTAAAACATAACTTATCCCAATAAAAAATAAACTTACATCCAGAGCCCTTTGGGCTTCTTTCTCTATCCAAATGATGGCATGATCGGACGTGGCATTGCAAGAAAGGACTATATGCTCAAACCTTCCATCGACCGGCACAGCTGTTCTCACAACTGGGGGAAACCTTCCCATTCTGCATATAAAAGATGTCCAGATGAGGCCAAAAGAAAAGGCTGTAGAAAATAAGCATCTTTTTAACATGAGCATGTAAACATACTTTATTATGCAAGAAACAAGAAAAAAAACACATGTCAGATAATTAGAATGAAAGAAGTATAAACTGAGACTTCCAAAAACAGTTAGAATTCAGTATAAAACAATTTTGTTTACTTAACCATACCTAAAAGGCTTCCTCTCCACAATGTGATAAAGACGACCAGGTGCATAGAGTCTCCTTGGATCTTTGAGCATCTTCTCCTCTGGTATACATGTATCCCTCATGCACCTCAAGCACAATATGCATGGCAAACTGCCACCCACATAAAACAATTTTTTCTTAAGTACAAATTGTCACAACATGAAAGCATTGATATTACATAAATAATGGTTTCACTAACAACTCGCATCAGCTTTTCATAGTATGCCAGTTATTGATGAGGTTTTTTTCACTACAAGTATATTGTTATTTTACTGACTAAGCTACCAGTGAAAAGCATAAAATAAACATAAAAATTCTAGGGGGGGGGGGGGGGGGGGGGGGGGTGGG